GACTTAATTTATTAATATAACAGTTCTACTTTTACCCTACCTACGCTTCCTCGCTCGCCACGTGTACGTCCGTCGGGGCACTCCAAATCCCTTGCGTTAAGTTACGCAAGGGTGTGCTGCCCCGTTATGCTCCCTTGATAACACCGGGGTTAAAAGCTGTCAGCGGGACTAGGGTAGACAGCCGCACCGACGGGTGCGCGAAAGGAATCTCCAACCCCTCTCGAAGGAGACCGGACTGGTCGACTGGAGTGGTTCCCTATTCGTGGGCCCTTCGAAGGGTGGGGCAGGGGAAGACGCACGAGAAGAGGAGACTTGCGCGCATCTTCAATCTGTGTAGTCTTCGCGCCGTGTAAAGTCGACGAAGTCAGCTATATTTGTTCAAGACGACCTTGAACATTCATATGCTAGAAGAATAACGCCGGTACGCGTTACACGCAATCGTTCAGCGCGGAAAACGTACGGTGATGATCGTGTTAAATGGAGCCGTCGTTACACGGACACCTCGAGATCGTGTAAGACGGCGAATATCAGCCAAAGCACGGAACACGCAGAAAATGTCGGTAGTGGTGCAAATGGAGAGAAATGACTGGTGCTGAGATATACTTGACATACATGAGCGGCGCAGAACATATACGAGAATGAAAAGTAGCCAAAACAAATTCCATTCATAAGCGTCAATCGCCACGGTTGGAGCTCAGGAAACCGATACGACAGCGCATTTCACACTGGCGGATAGGATCGCCTCTATATCTTCTGAGGAGACACCCGTAGCGAGAACCCACAATTAATAGCGCAACTGGTCACGGCCCGATGGGTGTGAGCAGAAAGCGCTGAGTGGCGAGTCTTCACGTTTCAATACGGCAGGGTATAGAAGTCGCAGACACGCGCCGCTATACTGAGTAGATCTGAAATGTCAACCGATAGCCGCCGTTCGATCCGCGAGGGCGAATGTGAGCTGACGCGTGGTAGACTCATAGCTCGTGCGTTTTGCGGTTCAAACAAGCTTGCGAAAGAGAAGAGCACCAGGCGATGATTCCCTTGTATCCTCGAGTCGTTGGAGAAGAAACGTCTTCTAGGCGATATACCATGGTATACGAACCTGAGGAAGAATAATGACAATAACACTACCTTCACGGTACGCTTCGAAAGTCCCGAGCATGGACCACACGCATATCACGAGTGTGAGTGTACGTGTGAAACACTGGAGGACTGGCGAAGACGATGCTACCTATGATCCACGCGGCTAAAGCTTCCTCTTCGACAGCGATCATCGAACGGAGGTCATCGTTTGGCTTAGCCGTTCATTGACGAGTAGCAGCCCTAATTCAGACCTATCAATGCACATCGGGAACCCCAGCGTAATGGCCCTGACGAAACGCATTCTTGTAACTGGCCATTTGTGCAGATATTGCCGCCGGCGAGGCAGTACCGTGATTACCAACGGCGATATCAACGGCTTACTGGCTCGTACGTGGTACAGGCGGTGAAGAAAAGATGGCAGGACCCGCAGAGGTGCCGTCAGGTTCGGACGAGGCGGGAACGGCAGAGACCGCAGGGGCACACTTCCACGTTCCATGACGCTATTTGGCGATTGCATTTGCCAGTGAAAAAAGGGAAGTGGACAAAGGAGATATAAGTGCCACGTATAGAATAGTCACAAGATGATGAACGGCCTGACAGACCATTATCATTTCATCTTACGTTTACTTCTACAATGTTTGAAACGAGTGAAATACAATCTACTATCCACAAAAGAGGGATCAATGTGCAGACATCATGACCGAGCCTCTGGGGCGTCAAATATTCGACGAGCACAGATGCTGAATTTTCAAGTGGCGAAGCGCGATTCCTGCGTATCACATCGCGGGTAGAGGGAGCTTTGCAGATTGACCGTTAAAAATAACCATCAAATTGAGTGGCGATAGAGTACGCAAGAGGGATAGGAGCGAGGGATGTCTTGTAGGTAAACTTTCATACTACCAGTTTCACTCGAGATATTTTGGAGCAGCGAGAGAGGATAACTGTGCACGATAGCGACAGGTGTTGGTGAGTGATATTAACTTTAACATAAGCTTGTCATTGGAGACACACGAACGAACTGCAACTAACAGAGTAGCATCGACTGTCGTGAAGGTAAAACTCCCACGTAAACACCGCTGGAGGGAACACGCCGCCACACAATATACTCAATTGGCTGTAGATATGATAACCACAAGCGTTAACACCTCAGCTTTGTCGGTTCACATCGAACTTGTGGCACAATAGAGTGACACTTCATTCTGCTACGTACATGGCAGGCATTGCCGTCTCTCTACTTTCAACAAGATTCTGATGGATGTGGTTCTGAAGGTTTGTGTAGTGCGGTGAACATCTGCTTGCCATAAATCGAAAAAAATGAGGTGTTCTTATGTGACCAACGGACTAAGAAATCGTTTCAGAATATCCGTGTACCACAGCGGATGCCCTCAGTCTGCGATACGTGAATGTTTAAAGTCCAAATATCGTAGCAACATCAGCGACGCATTTACGAGATGATCCGACGAATGTGTATATTGCTAAAATGCTTGTACGTATGCTTTGTACCTTCACGGTTTTTACTCAATACACTCTTTATCCGAAACGCTTTTTACCCGACACGCTTTTTACCCGACACGCTAATACATACGCTTTATATAAATATATATCTACCGATTTTTGTACAATGCATCGCGTTGTGCATTTTTTGGATCGAGTGGTGCGATTACTATCCTTTGTGACAACTCTGCTCCTTTCACATTCTCCTTCTACACTTTCGATGCTTGATGTTAAAATGCGTGGACTCGAATGTGCAAATGGGTGTCAGTCCTTTCTTCGAAGCTCAAGCTACAGCTCTTTCGAGCAAGAAACAAACGGACTTAAGGACCACTTCAAGTTCGTACATTTACGACAACTCGCGGCCATCTCTCGCCAGTCTCCCATTGGCTATTAATTCACAACGCAAAGCGACTCCACGATGGTGCCTTGCGATGACGAGCGCGGCGACAGTGCAGCAGCTGATCGCGTGTATCGTCCGTTGCTGTTCCAGTCGACAGGGTATGCGTCGTCTGAGCTCTTCCACGACGCATACGAAATGCACTCGCGTCTTTCGACGCCATTGTCGTCGAGCGCGCCTCTATTAGGAGGAGGAACAGGTACGACCGACCTCTCGGACCAGAAGCAGATCCAGCGACATGTGTGTGAGCCCCAAATTCGGCTCGAAACGTTGTCGTCACGAGCTGCAACTACCGTGATCTGGATCACCTACGTCGTGTTTTTTCTTGCCATGGCGTTACCCTACCTACAGAGCAAGGGCTATCTGGAATCGGTACTGCGATCAGAATCTGATCCGAGCCAACGATGTGTTTCTGAGTCTAACGAGAGTTGCTGCGCCCTCTCTGGTTTTCCTACGTGTTCACGTATGCATGTGAATATCGATACAGATGATAGTCTTGCCAGGTGCAGTCTGCAAGGCTCAAGGGAACGCAGGCGTGCCATGTATTGACGTGGACAAGGCAAACGACGTTGCTGTATGGTCTGCTTATGTGGCCAATGTGTCGAGATATACTGGCTCGATTGAGATTAGGCTACAAGTGCGGGAGCGAGCAAACTCGTCAAGGCTTGACAAGTTGATACCGTCTGTGACAGGTAGCGATGCGTTTCGAGATGTGAAACACGCTGACAGTGTCTGGGAGGACCTTCGGTATCCAAATGAAATGGACATTCGTTTCGAAAACGAGGCAAAAAGACTGATGGAAGTCAAGGATGGAGACATCGGCCAAAGCGGTAGTTACGTCTTGTCGTACGATGCAAAGCTGTACGGTATTGATCATGGCATGAATCCGGTCGAAACGGATCTTGTCGTCGAGAAACGCAATCAAAGTATCTGGGTGGCTTGTCAAACTGGTGGACCATGTGAACTTGCACAGTTGCTGGAGATAACGCAAGACATTGACCAAGTGGTAAGCATCGACCGACTTGTTTTTTATGCTTGCTGTGTTGCGTATCGCCCATTGATCGATCAATTGATAAAGTGACATTTTGAACAGGATGAAAACGAATTTGATGCGTACTACGCCGTCGTGACGTTCAAGGGGCTGTACCCAAACGAGTTTGGCGATGAAGTGACCTACCAGTTTGCGTATACGTACGTCTGGGCTGCCAACCTGTTGGGACTCAAACTCTTGCTAAGCTTGTTGTTGTTTTTGTTGTACAGAAAGCCAGTCGTTCACGTTGGCGAAGTTGTTATCCGCGGATTGCTAGTGCTGGCATCTATTCTAGCGCTTCCGTGCTGGTTCATATCAGTGCTAAATTTTCACGGCGGATCATGGCGTCAAGTGCTTAGCGTGCAAAAGTGGTTGCTTGGCGTCGGCATTGCGCTTGTGCTCTGGCAGAATCCAGTGTACACGGTTTCCCAGCTGTGCGCAACTGTGAGTTCACGAACTCGTTTTGTGTCGATCACTTGCCAGTCATTCGCGGAGGCTATGTTCGGTGTATTCTGGTTGAGCCTCATGGATCAGCACGTTGAAAACCTTGCCACAAAAAGAAGCTCGTGTGTGTCAAAGTTCACCTTCGGCTTGGCACTTTTTGCAGTGGACACGTGCATGACTGTGCTACGAATGCCCAAGCTGTTTTTTAGAGTGGGAAGTATATCTGCGTTCGATGTGCGCCACGAAAAGCTGTACCTGCTGCTTAGCGTTACTCGTATCGGCTTTGTGCTAGCTTGGCTCATTTGGATAATGGCGGCTGGGCTACGATCTGGTCGACGTCTGAAGACATTGCCGTACATGGCGACCCGCTTCAAGCAGTTGTCGTACCGCTTTCTAGTACTGGAGACGCTGCTACTTTTTGCTTTCGCGTTGACGTTCTCAGCACTGCAGATGTTTTACCTTGCTCAGACGTGGTACTTCATCGGTTGCGACGCATTCATGCAGGACGCAATCCAAATGTTTGCCAAAATGCACACTGGTCACCCGTCATTGGGCCAGTTCCTGTTTCTGTCAGTTTATGTGTACCTCGTCATGTTCGTACACTTGCCTCCACCTGCAAATGGCGGTACGGGCTTGCTGGGGTCAACAGCATTCTACGTCGAGGAAAAGCCACGCGTCGACTCTTATGGCTTTCTTACACCGGACCACGATTTGTTTTGCGTGGAGACGGCTGAATGGCTGCTAGAGATGGCGTATCAAGCTTACTTCGACCCACCTGGATGTCCGTCGTCTTCTGGATATGGTGAGCTTGCGCTAGAGCGACATGGCTTTGACTTGATAACTCATCTGCGAAGCAACTACACGGACACACACGCTGTCGTTGCGTGGAGTCTAGAGGACCATCAACGCTTGGTCATATCATTCCGAGGCACCACGAGCAAGGAGAATTGGAAGAGTAATCTCCGCGCTGACCAAAAGGTGTTGTGGATACGATCTCGAGGGCTGCGCTGGAGAAAGTCTTGTCTTGAAAAAGTGAAGGACGCTGCAGCAAAGATTCCGTTACTCAATATGGCGTTGCCGCGTGTGCACCGAGGTAAGTCAGCTCATCCGTGTGACCGGTACTCACGGTGCCCGAAGATAGTGCATCTGATGCTTATTGCTTTTGTCATGCAGGATTTTGGATTGCGTACGAGTCGATTCGGGATGAACTGAAGGACGTCATACGGCTCATTCTTGACGAAAACCCCGGCGTCTCAGTTTATGTCACCGGTCACAGCATGGGTGGCGCTCTTGCGGTGTTGGCTGCGTATGATCTTGCGGTGAATTTTAGCATCAAGGTCAACATGTACAATTTTGGTGGTCCCCGAGTTGGCAATCCGAGTTTCCGACAGCATTACGATAGCTTTGTTCCCACGAGCTTTCGTGTGGTTATGGACGGTGACATCGTGCCAGGGTGGCCAAGATTTGTACGTTGACGTGTGTATTGCCGTTGTGTGACGAATGTTTTCGTGTGAACAGTATGTTCTGCTTTGCTAACAAATGTCTGAACGATAGTGGGGACTGTACCAGCATGTGGGAACTGAAGTATCGCTCGACGTGGCGGGCAACCTGATTGTTGACCCGAGCTTCGTGGAGCGCCACCTCCACAGCTCATCGAGGCGCAAGACGACAATGCATGGCACGAACGTCTACCGGGAGTCGATCGCCAAGTGCCATGAAAACCTAACGGTGCTGTAGCAGTTGATGGGATCATGTTCACGTGCGCAGGAGTATTCTATCTCTTGACGCCTATTTCGGCCGCATCATTTTCGTGTTCGAGTCGATGAAGAACCCGACTTCGGCACCGTGGAAATCGCACCTACCAAGATCGGTTTGGACGACCACGCAGGCGCCCGGTACCAATAAACGTATTTTAATCATCTAGAATAATTAACTGCCTGTTATGGTGTGGAAAAGGCAGCTCCTGGCTAGCGTTTGTGGTATGTCGTCAACACAACACGTGATGGAAATCGATCAAGCACGATTCCAATGCCATGGTCATCCATGTTGGTATCCTTTTTGACGAAGACGGTGTGGTGTCACATATTACAGTCCTCAGGCGCATTGAGCTTAACACTTGACGATGAGACTACACCACGTTGTTGTCGTAGCGTACAAGTGGCATAACGGTACCTCAAGTTTTCGGAACAAAGCTGCCGAGAGGTCTGCTGAAACATAACGTATTCGCTCGATACGCTTGGCTTCAGGTGCTGCTTTTGTGTGAACTTTACTCACCGCGGTTTGGCAGGCAATACGCATACAGCACCGCAACTGGAATCTTGTAAAAGCATGAGACAATGGTGCACAAAGACGATGACACAAGAGGACAACGACGGGTGGACTACGTACGCTCAAGGCATGATCAGCCAGCCAGCCAGGCGAGCGAAAGCAACGCGTTACGTCACATCTTGAGTTCATGTGCCCATTATTTCTGGCGCACTCCATCACAATGATGTTACCTTTCACTTCAGCCCTCGAGTGACCGGTCCTCATTTGGCACACTCTAGCTAGCCGTTAACAGGATTTTGCCGGCATCTACGAAAACGAGAGTATCTCAACGTGTACTCAGCTTGGCTGCATTCAGGTTCACAGCGCAAATAGCCCATGGATTGGATTTGACCACGTCACTCGGGCTGAACGTCTAATTGCTCGTCTCCTTGCACACCGCGTCATTTCCTTTTACCATGTCTTGCCAGTCACTCTACAACATCTTTCGTCAATGGTGCTGACCAACCTCTGTCGTCGATCCTCGAGTGCATCTCTGTGCATTGAGCGAGTATCAGTTACGCTGCCAAAAAAAAACAGACGCACCAAAATGCGTGCGATGATCACAAAAACTTTGTTTGCCGCGTAATTGAGAGTCGCCAGATGCCCAGAACACAAATGTGCTTTGCAGCGTAAGATAAAACGCCATCTTTTGTAACGCAATTCCTGTTTGCGACAAAAGCGAACTTAGCTGCTTTTTTCCAGCCCTATCTTGTTGCAATACATTTCAGGACGCCGTAAGACTGGCTAGAAGTCCACCTGACTCCCTCGACCGCTCAATTTTCGTCACCGCCTACTGCTGCCCAATGGTCCGTCGTGTGCTGCGAAGAAAGCGCGCAGAGACGACCCGTACTAACTTCTCTCGTTGATCATCATCACGTTGTTCGTTGCAGTCGACTTTCCTCACCAAGGGACCGCGCGCTGTGGCCCAGTCACTCCGCACTGGCGCCCGCTCCATGTCGAGTGCCACCGAGGAGGAGGCGAGACGTGCGTTCACTGGTGTCTTTTTTTGTCCTTTTGATCGCAGAAATTATAGTCCTAATTAGTGTCGAACCTGTTTGTTGCTTTTGTCCGTTTTTTGATCGACAGAGCAAATGCACCGATGGACTACGATTTCGAAGGGCATGATTGCTTTCACGTCTGTGTTTACGGTCTACGCCATTAGCGACCACTTGAGCCACGGACACCACGAGGAAGAGAAGCCGGCGTACCCGTACCTCAAGATGCGCACGAAGCCGTATCCGTGGCCCGAGTCGAACTGCGACTACTTGGACCGCGAGTGTCGCGCTAAGGCCCGCGCGGCCAAGGAGGCTCTTTCGGAATAAGCACTGCAGTCCAAAGAGAGAGAGAAAGGGGAGCAGAGAAGAGCAAGACAGGGTGGACGCCAGTCGTCAGATGAACAAGGTGGACTGGCTAGACCGACTTGTTGTCTACAGTGCCTTGCTCCTTGTCTTTTTCACTGCCGTGGACGCTGATGCATTGCATACAACTCGGGGATCACACTGTCTGCAGTACGAGAGAAAGCACAAGAGAATACACAGTGATGATTCCGTCGTTGTCTTGATGTGTATCGACGCGTGTGCTCTAAGCTCGATCAAGAGAACGCCACAGTGACTTTCTTTCGACACCGACTTTCGGCGGGTGACCAGCGACGACATGACACACCCTAACAGATCCGTCTCTGTCCAAGCATTGCACGTGTATACAGACTGGTGCCTGTATGAAGGTCGACAGTCGGGCCAAAGATGGCACAGACGACGATGTAGTTGCAACTCCTGGCCCGTGTCCTTTCACCAAACTTGCATGGATGTTCAGCTCGCGACTGGCGTCACATGCGATGCTCTACGAGTACGCTATCTTGCTCGAACGAAAACCGCAATCTCTGTAGGCGACAATGCTCAATCGCATGTACATTCATTGCTTCGATTCCTCCATCGACCACACAATGCAGGTCTTGCCGTAGCGGCCGTCTTGATGATCGTCTGTTCAGATAACATCGAAGTGGTAAGTCGAGAATGCAAATCAAAGTTCCGAAGGTCTTTGTTGCACACGACATGTATGCTACATCCGAGCCTTCCACTTCGATGCGACGAAGAACTATTACGAACGCAATCACTGACTAGCACCTACCCGCTAGGCATCTATTGACTTTTCGTCCTCGTGTTCGCAACATGCGTGTTTGCCGTCTCTGCCAGACCGTCTGCCAAAACTTTATCTCGAAGCTGGCGCAGTGTTTCAAGACAATCGATGTATCCTCAGTCTTTCGCAACGCGCATCATTCAACATCTTCACTTGTTCTGTTGCGTTGCCATGAAACAAAAGTCTCGCTGCTTCGTCAGCGCCGAATGGCAAATTGTGGGTACTTTATTCTGTACATCTAAATGCACTAGAACCACATGTGTAAAACAAAGAGGTACATCATTAAACCTTTTCCATCGTAGAGGAAGAGTTCCTAACGTTTCTTGGGGTCAGGTCCATCCACGCCCAACGCACAACGTTTGGTGTATCATCGTAGTCATGTACCACGATTCCGTGCATCGTTTCTGTGTTACTTTTCTGGCCTTCTAGTTCATGAAGTGATGTTAGTACCCGCTTCACAGCTGTGGGACGTCTAACCCGCAACATGGCAATAACCACGTCTTCTAGTACGACTACGTCTGTTGATGCTGGGTTCTTGGCAAGATCACGCTCCAGCAACCGTGCGATTATTTGCACGTCCAATTGTCCTTCTTCTTTGACGAAGCTTGCAAAGTCCTTCGTCCTAGCCCGCGCGTTCCATCTGTGAATCGAAATGACGAACTGTTTGCAATCGCCTCGGACATCTATCTGTTCCTCGTCCTCAAAGTCTTTGCGAGAAGCCCCGTCTACCATTGTATCATTCGACCTCAACAAGCTCGGAGCAACAGATACAATTATGTCCATGTCAGATGAGCTGTGGGCGACAAAGCGTGTGTGTGGTCGGGCATGGTCTCCTCGGAGCGTAGGAAAGTTGCGTTGTGAGCTGGATCATCGTGTTTGTTATCGTCGCGAAGCAAGTCTACAGAAAGGTACCGAAGGCCGCGAGCACGCGACAAAGTCTGCGCACCTTAACTTGCAGGTTGGTGTTTGCACATTGCCCAAGGAGGAACGTGGGCGCCAGCTTTTCATGGCAGCTGTGCGTTTATGATATTTACATTCGTAACAAGGCAGTTAGCTACTCCACCTGATTTTCGCTCTGTCGAGTTCAGGAGATCGCTACGACGGACGCAGTGTCGTCACGGTCACGTGCGTCATTGATGATGACGTCATCATCAAGGGTTCCCTCGCAACTGACTACGTGCCCCACGTAACTCGACGTCATTCTGAAAAACGATGGCAGATATACCATCACCAGCAGCAGCAGCAGCAGCTCCTGTCGTCCCCGCTCCTCCTCTGCCGAACGAACCAACGTGCGTGGTAAGCCATTGCAAGCGCAACGTCTAGTGCACACGAACAACCCGTAGCTCGCTCTCACCTGCTGTCACCAACGTATATCCATACGCACGTACGTGTCTTGCGTGTCTTGCTCGCTCTCTTTACGAACAAGGTCTGCGGTCGATACGGAGAATACATCTGCGACGCGACGAACGACGACGTATGTAGTATAGCATGTCGCAACATATGCATCAGCAGACGCGAAGTGACGACGCGAGCGACGTGGAATGATCAACAGGACCAACGGCGTCAGTCGGACGAGTCCGACGACGCGCTTCGACAAAAGCTGGGTATTCGAGCCGCCGCTGTCTCGGCAGCTGGCTCTGGTCACGAACATGAGAGCCGATTACCATTGGTGTTGCCTCGTCTCCTCGTGGACTTTACACATGAGCAACAAGATGATGAACGATTGCCCACGGCATTGGTGACCAATCTCCTGGCGAATCACTTTGAAAGCCCCACACCGGTGCAAATGCAGACAATCCCTTGTGTGCTGCAAGGAAGCCACGTATGTGCATTCTTGTGTTTTGCACTGTGCCCGTCAGAAGCAAAGGGTAGATGACTGACGGGGTCGACGCTGTGCTTCTGCTGCTCGCTCGCAGGTCTTAGTGAGTGCACCAACCGGAACAGGAAAGACGGCTTCATATTTGATTCCTGTAATTTCGCAGGTCTTGTTCGCGAGAGAGCAGAAGGAAGAGACCGTGGCAGTGGTATTGGCGCCAGTCCGAGAGCTTGCGATTCAGATCGAGACAGTGGCAAAAATGATGATGCGAGGTATTTATGACATGAAGACAGCCTTGTTAGTGGGCGGACTTCCCGTCCCAACGCAGCGCTATCGACTACAAAGCGGCGTCCAATTGATTGTGGCCAGCCCCGGTCGCTTTCTTGACATCTTTACAAATTACAGTGGCGGCGACGCTCTCCTGCCTGCAATTCGAGTGTGCGTAGTTGACGAGGTGGACGTCATGCTTGGCGTTGGGTTTCGGCCTCAAATTTCGCAAATTGTAGCGTTGCTGGCTGCATCTACCAAGAAGCACATTCAGCTTTTGTTTTTTAGCGCGACGATATCGAAGGAGGTCGAAGCGCTGGTGCAGCAGGTTTTAAAGACCCAACGTACTCAGTCTTTCATTCGCATCGATGTTCGTAAGGATGCATCCGAGACCAGCTTACCGACGGAGCTGCCGAGTCTGTGTATACACTCCGGTGCACGCCATCAGGTCCGGTGGGTGGAAGACAAGGAAAAGAAAAACAAGCTGTTTGAGTTTTTGGGAACGAAAGGAAACGAGTCGACGGTGCGTAAAAATGCGCGTGCACACTGTCATTATTTGAGTAGCCTTATGGATAATAGCATCGGTTGCTGTTGCTTGCTTCAGCTTGTCTTCGTAGGATCGAAGCTTGGTGCGACAATGCTAGCAGAAGCGATTCAAAAGCGCTGTAAAACTAGTGCAGAAGCGATTCACTCGGACAAAACGCAGCAAGAAAGACTTCGTCTGCTCGAGGCATTTGTGAACTTGGAGGTCCCAATCCTGGTGTCGACAAACGTGCTGAGTCGAGGGATGGATCTGCTGAATGTCGAAAACGTGGTGGTGTACGACTTTCCGAAGAAAATCGCGGACTTCGTTCATTTAATCGGTCGCACAGGGCGTGGAAGCCACAAGACTGGAGACACGCTCACGCTCGTGAATTCAGCAGACCGCTTGCTTTTCCGTGAGCTTGCTTCGATGCTACGGCAAGCAAACGTGTCCGTGCCCCGCGAAATGTACCACAGCATTCGTTTACAAGACGCTAAGAAGCGTGCGTATTCGAATGACATTGTTATCGATGAATCCAAGCGAGCTTTTCGGATTAGAAAGCAAATGATTGATGGAACCAGCAGTGTAGCATCGGAGTGGAAAGAGTGGAATAATCAGCAAAGCCGCAAGCGGCGCAAAACAGGATCGTAGTACATGATTTGCGTCACGTGGGGATACCTGAAGAAGAAGGGTTTACTCGTGCATGGTCGTTGTGCGACGGCTTCACCAGCGTTTTGAATGTCGAGGTATATATCCATGCAGGTATGATTTGACATTCCTGTTGGCGAAGCAAGTACGGTAGCATAAGCTGCCACGAATGATGAACACTTTGGACCCTGGTACAGTGCTTGCTCGGTGCCCGCGACTGAAATGATGTATCCATTTTGATCGATGCATTGTGTGTTGCGAAATGGAGTGGTTGTGGCATGACACGTGTTGGCGTCGTGGAGGTAGTCGCTCACAAAAGAACAACACTTGACAAACCGCTACAATAGTGGTCGAAAGGTATAGCTTATCCATTACGGCACTATTGAGTGCATTCGAGCATGCACTTAGTGTTTCAAGTTTGCAAGGAATAACTGCCCTCTGCAAGCAATTGCATTATGCATAGCAGAGATGCGATGCTACAGAGGTAGCCAGAGCTGCATTGAAACAAGCATCTGTAGCGAAGCATTTGCAAACGGTTGCACATCAGGCCGCAAGAACTGGTGATACAGTTGGCCCAACCTCAACGTAGCTGATGACACACACAGCCTCCAAACGGAGCTGTGCATGATACCGCCTTCCATTTGACCCTCATTGTCCGTGAGTATGATTATCTACGAGATGTCGATGTCGGTACGGTTTTGACTCTTGTGGGAGTATAGGATGTACCGCCGATGCGATATGTGCGGAGCCGCGGGCGAAAGAAAGCATACCGCTGGCGCCATCACGAGCCACCTTGGATTTATTATTTGCCATCATTAGGGGTCACACGTAGGCATGATGATCGTATGAACAAAGCTAGCGTGATGACGTTGCGCATTCGATGATGTGGTCTTGCCTGAGCTCACAGTGAAGAGTTGTGGCATACATGACACGACTATGGTTGATCGTTATGTCTTGGAGACCGCAAATTGCTACGAGGAAGACGCGGACAATTCGGGTTTGCAAACACGAGCAGACTATCGTTCGTCGCCGTCGAAGTGTTTTTCTTATCATCGACAAGAAAATTGCAAGCGCAGACGCGAGATTCTTACCGAAGACGCACCCTCGGCGAGATTCCCAAAGCACTGCTCGTCGTGGTCTCTTTGTCATGGTCGAAGCTGATTGCAGCAGACTTGAGGCCAAGTGCAAACGCCCGCGTGATGCAACAGCCACTGATAATATGAATGACACGCGCTTTTGCCGGGGGGTCTGCCGAGTTGTCGCTTGTATAGCACCAAAGTAGACAGCAACGCGTAAGCAAACGACGCATTGCTGTCTGGGCTGATATGATACATACGACAACTTGGCATTAGTGCGGGTCTTTTGTATCAACAGCTGGTTCGAAAACGCGTTGTTGCCGTTTGTAGGGGGTGTACCTCTACCGGTAGTGACCTGTCATTGCAGAATTGCGAGAGTTGCTGAGACTTGCGAGGTACTTGCCCTGGCCTGAGTAGATGATGTTTCTATCCGGATCGAAGCTCAAAGCAATACGTCTACGGTACGATCAGCATCGACATTGAGTATGTGGCATTGTATGGACTTGGAAGCCCCACATTTCGTTGCAAAGCATCGTTTTTGAAAAGGTACCGAACATGCTGGACCGATCTTGTACTTTTACCAGCCAGAAACACATATTCGAAGAAGAGATGCTATTCTCTATACATGCAGATGCTGCTCGTGGTAACACGTTTTGGCCTCATGATGGTAGGTTTGTGTCCTCAGATGAGAAGAAAGATAAGCCATTATCGGACTGAACAAGAGCTCGCCAGGAGGTCGCACCGTGTAATGGACCTCGATGGTCGTTTCCAAGGATGTTGATGTTGTTGACGGGGACACTTGAGCAAATAACGCTTGAAGCTGTTGCTTGGCATATGCCCTACGGCAGCTCATACTACAAATTGACTTCTCTGAGCGTTCACCTTCTGCCCCAGTGCTTGCCTGCTGCTCCATCATAGCAACTCATCTCGCACAATCAAGTGCAGGCACTGCAGCATAAACGCAGCAGGTCGTATACCTATCCCGGACAATCGTTAGAATCCGACTTTCATTACGAATAAGTCGAGACAGCTTTGCTGGTGGGATCTTCTCACAAATGGCAACTAGTCGACCGCACAACAACGATAGCCGGACCAAATTGGGAGGATGGTGAGAACACAGCAACACTTTGGTGGAGGCGTGGGACCCCTTGCCGGTGTAGTAAAATCTGAACGACTTGGGTGACACACGTGCTGGCAAGCAGGTGCTAGCTGGTGGATATCGTGGCCTTTCGAACGGCAAATGTCAAACTGAGTGATCGATGTGCCTTGCCGATCCGTTGTCCTTGAATGTTACGATGACAGGTATCGACTTTACGATAGCAATAGCTGACGCAGACTCTTGCACAACGCATGAACACGAATGACTGACGATATCGAAAATGCTGGTTTGCTGTAGAACGGAGCCATAATATCGAAGAGAAAGGATAACTTTTGACGCAAAGTTAGCTTCGGTACAACATTATTTTGACCCCTTTGACGACGACTTGTCGTCATTTGACTGTATCACGAGGAAGTTGGAGCCGGTGCGACTAGTACATGGGCTAGAATGGCCGTTTGGGTAAACTCTTGCCGTGATTGGATGTCGAGACAAACTGGAGCAGCTATGACATGGAAACCGCCAACAATACCGAGAAATTCGACCCAAACTGTTTGCGTCGTCTTGGCTTCCATAACGCCGATATTCTGTTTCACGCAAATGAAAATACCAAGTCAGGTGAAATCTGTGGCTCCAACAGAAATTGGTGAAACACAAACATACCTGGTGAGATGCAGATGAGCAAACAATGCCATGCATCACTTCTTTGCGAAACTGCAACTGGAGTGCTAGACGCTGAAGCGATTTGTTGGTCACTGATATTGCCACTAAAAACGGTTGCCCGACCACCACTTTGCTAGGGATTTCTTCTACGGATACAACGACATCGCCAGCGTCTGCCGTGGGTTGGCCAACAGTCTCGGCAATGTCCCGCATCACCGGTGGACTTTGCACCGATCCTGCTTCCCCCATTGATGTTTTCCACCCCACATGGAGTCGGCCGAGATTTTGCGAACCCTACAAACGTATTCAGGTCAGTCAAAGGACCGTCGGAGCACCTTCTGTAGTCAACATGTTACCTGAGTCGTTTGCAGCGCAGGATACGATGTAGGATCGCACGTGATGCGAAACACGCGCTGCACTTCTTCTTGAGGATAAACAAGTGTCTGCTGTTCGTTGTCTAGCGACAACAGATCTTCAATCAATGTCTTGTCGATCTCCTTTTTGATCGTACTCCTAGCCCCTTGTATTTCGTCAGCTAGTTTGAATGGTAGTAGTGGCAAAAACTTGATACTGTCGACAAACAGCGGGAGTTTGCACACATTGCGGATCTGCGCCTCGACGACCACCTCCCCGTGCTGTCGACGCGTTGACATCAGACCTTGCTTGAACGTCATCACCATCGGGTTTTGCACACCAAAGCGGTAAAATTTGCGCAGCGACTTCTTGTCGCCTGTCACCGGGTCCACATACGCCACACTCACACGCAGCACGTGATTCCCTACTTGATTTAGCGGATAATCCACCACCATATCCAGACTACCACCAGCAGGAAGCGCCGGTACAGGGTTCATGGGAGGCATCTTTCCGACCCGCGCAAAGCGATTATCGTGCAGCTCGACCCGATCATTGGCACACTGGATATTGGCCGACAGCCTGACGTCTCGCAGCTCGCACGAGTACGGGTTAATGACACTGATGTAGCTACTAAAGGTGTTGCCTAAGAAGATCTCTCTACAACAACAAAAAATAGCACCACACCAAACACTTGGTCAGCAACGACAATGTGACCAGGCATCCCGCGTTTGTAGCCTTCTCACGACAAAAAAGACCGACGACGCACGTACCCAAAACTGTCGGGCAAGATGAGCATACTCGACACTGCAAACTCGTGCTGTGTGGCCGTAGCTTCCGACATTGTCGTGGGCAACATGGCGCCCCCAGTGACGCCCTGGACAAACAGATGTGGTTTGTACAGCCGCATGACTAAGAAGAGAGACAGAGACAGAGAGGGACAGAGAGAGAGAGAGAGAGACAGAGAGAGAGAGAGAGAGACATACACAGACAGAGAGAGAGACATACACAGACAGTGTGAGGTATCCCAGCAGGTATCACGAACGGTACATCAGCCACACAGACCGACACGCGGCCCACAGTGCTGCAGACCTTTGAGTGTCGGCTGCATACTGGACGCAGGAGACGCAGACGACGTGGCAGACGCAGCGCTTCCGCTTGATGGAGACGGGCCACTGCCCTTTCCATTCAACGCGCTCATCGACGACGGCGGTCAATGTTGAGAACTGTGGGCCAAAGGACAGACTCGTTATGTTGCACAACTGTTGCGCAGATTCGCTGAGTTGCACGAGTTGGCTCAGATTCCGTTTGTAGCCGAGAAAGAGGCGACTCTGACACGCAGCATGTTCGCCCGCTCTGTGTCGCGCGCGGCAGCGCTCCCTGCGCGCTTGGCGCGTCTGCAAGCAGCTGGTCGTACGACGGTCGGCGCAGCACAAGTCGCTTGCGTCTCGGACGCCCCAACGGTACAGAATTGAGTCGATCGATCGATCGGAGGACCGATGGCTACACAGGCTGCAACGCGGGCAACTGACGCTTGTTCTGCTCGTGTTTGGTTGGTGCAACTTTACACTCAGATGCATGGCACTACCATTTTGTGCGTTCGAAAAGGAGACCAAGTGGTGCGTGTGCAATAGGTTGTACCCGTTTGCGCTGTCTATTGGGGACACTGCCAAGTTGCTGCAACGAGGCTTGAGGTTGTGCCCGCGGAAACTGATGTACCTGAGTTGTCGTGACTAGTGCCTCGTTGGGGACGGTCAAGTGTCGCTGGGAGCAACTGTGGTCAAGCCCAATGCTAAGAAAGTGCGACGCATTGGAGAGCACATTGTCGCGGGCTTTGCTGGCTCCACGGCCGACGCGTTTACGCTCATGGAGCGACTGGAAGCGAAATTGGACGAGTATCCGGGCCAACTCACGCGCTCGTGTGTGGAGCTCGCCAAAGCGTGGCGAACGGACAAGTACTTGCGTCGTCTGGAAGCGACGCTGATTGTGTCGGATCTCAAGCAGTCATACACGCTGACGGGCAATGGCGATGTGCTGGAACCACATGACGGAATCATTGGCATTGGCTCGGGCGGCACTTACGCCCTTGGTATGTTTGTTTCACCTGTATGAGAGGCGGGATGATGTTGCGTGGAGAGGTTGAACGTGACTGGATGGCTGTGCATGTGTTGCAGCGGCTGCTCGTGCACTTATTGACCAGGATCTGGACGCTGAGGCGATTGCTCGCAAGGCGATGCAGATTGCTGCCGATATCTGCATCTACACGAATGGAAACGTCGTTGTCGAGATGCTGGAAAAAAGTAAGGACGATACGGAGAAAGATAGCAAGGAGTCGACAACGTAGAAGGCGCTACATCGATCGATGTTGGTGCCGCTTCGTCGGAGGACGCAGTCGGCGTTCATCAGCTATGTTGAAATCAATAAACTCGTGCAGAGTCTCGCCGCAGTTCCCACTGACTTGACAAGGCTCGTGTTGGTGGCGTCGTGGGAGTAGCAGAAACGAAGCGGCGGTCAACGGGACGAAGATACAAATGGAGTCGGTGATCATTGTTCGGTGAGTGAAGATTGAAAGCGCACAAACCGTTGCTCGTGTAAGAAGGCAACTTACCAACGCCACTCTATTGGCGAGCCAGTAGCTCCTCGGTGCGCGTTGCTTGCCGAGCTCATGCGGCAATTCAGACGTGTCCTTGCTACTTGCTTCTTCGTCTTATCACGTCCCGGCGATCTTGATGGTACATGGAATGTATGGGTAATGTATCGGTGCGCAGTTGCGCTTTCCTCGGTCTCTGCTGTCTGCTGCTGTTGCTGCTTAAACGTCGTTGGCAATGATTAAGTTGTACTTGTCGATGTTGCGCTTCAAGATGTCTTCTAGCGGGCCCATAACCCTCTTGAACGTCTTTCGATCCAAGGTGAGGCACTTGACCCGGCCGCGTGCGGTTACTGTTGCCTGGCGAGGCCTCGTGGTGAGCAGTGCGATCTCACCAAAGTACGCGCCAGACGTGAGATGACCCATTTCTACCGCGGGCTCTGCCGGTGAGAGCTGCTTCGTACACACTGCCACGCCTTCTTCGATGATGTAAAACAGGTTCCCGTCGTCGCCCTGAGTGATGATGACTTCGCCGTCACTGAACGTCTCGGTCTTGAGCGCATCTGCCACAGTGAGACGCTCATACTCGCTCAGCGACTCGAGCAAAGGAACGCGCTCAATAAATCCTTTATGTGCCTCGCGCTTCTGTAACGTTGTTTCCATGATGATAAATTTGAATGTCTGTCGATCCAGTGCCCACGCCTTTGAATGCTGCACTGCCTTCACAGTTGCCGCCCGGGGAGCGTTGTACATAAGTGCCAATTCACCAAACGACATTGCTTCTGTGCACTGTCAGTGCAGACCAAGTCGTGAGCAAAACCACCAGTCAGTATAACTAGCAGCAAGAAATGCACCGCTGACAACCGACAATGTACATGCAACGCACCGTTTGCACTAGATCGCCGTCCTTGTAGACTTCACAGACGCCGCTCTCGAGGATATAAAAGTTGTCGCCGTCATCTCCTTGCTTGATGATAGTCTCTCCAGGTGCAAACTCCTTGGGAAACATGGCGTCGAGCACAATCTGATGCTGTTTCTCATCCAGAGACTTGAACAAGATGTTCTCCGCGACCATGCAACTGATGCCGTCCATCTCTTCTTGGGACTTGGGATGCACCACGCGCTCAAAATGCCGGACGCTGCATCAATCATAAGCACAACAACAAAGTCAGCGTCAATCTGTATCGGCCAAACGCCCAATTCAATTGACGCAAAACAGATTAACCTCCATCACACGCTCGTCTTTACCTCGACGGGTCAATAGGTTCAGCAGACACGGAAGTACGTCGCCCCTTGGCCATCCGCAAAGGTGGCGCAATAGCCACGATCTCACCCACGTCGTCTTCGCTCTCATCGTCGTCGTCACTATCGCTCTCGTCCGAGTGGTCTGTATCCACGCAGCAAAAGAGGCGTACACGGCATGGCGTCAATACAGTGCCGCAACCTCCTCACTCCATCGCTCTCTACCGCTATTTCCCCTATTTCCATCCTCCCACGCTATTCGGCCATGTATCCATTCGTCCATGTATCCATTCGTAAATGTGTACCCATACACCTTTTCGGTGCATACGTACAGTGTCCATGATGCGACAGTATCGGATCGTCGTCCCCCATGCTCGTCACTCGCCCGCGCGGCTTTGTCTCGTCTGGATACGTCGTGCACAAGTACTGGACAATGTGGCGAATCGGGTTCTCTGGCTTTGCGAGCAGCAGCGACTCGACGAGGTTCATAAACAGCGAATTAATGCCTTTCTTGTGGAGGTAGTCTTGGAGCTCTTGCTGCACGCCCTCGGCGTCCGTCATGCGGCTCAATCGGGAGGGTCAAGACGTGCTTCTCTAGCTCGTGGGCTAGTGAAAAGTGTCGCTCAATGGCTTCACCCCTCGAAACGCACGGGGCTCGGAAAACGGCGCCCGACTCGTCTTTTGGGCTCGAATATCGAAGCTTAAGTAGCTGCTGAACCCACGCGGATGTCTACCGTCAAAGATCGCGCGCGCGGGGGCGGCGAACCACGTCGCAGATGACGCTGGCGTGAATGCGAACGTAACGTCGGGCAGGAGCGGTTACGTTTGGCTGCCCCTTGCTGACGCTAACGCGGTCGCCACCGCAGATGTGTTAGAGGTCGCTATTCAGTGGCCGGGTTTCGGCTCGCGACGCTTGGGAACGCACTTAACGCCCGCGCGGCGTCTCTATCGACTTTCGCAAACGTCCAGACGGATGGACAAGTACAGTGAAGCCCGCGCCCGCTCTATTTTTGCGCGCGCTAACTGGATTGAACTGACGTCGACCGGGCTGGAGACCTTTTTTTCGCCGGTCTGCTTTTCGTTTCTCACGTGAAGAAAGACACGACACACATCGTTTAGGTCCTACAGATGTGCATCTTTGAGCTGTTTTTGCAGCTCGGAATCCTACATAAGATCGTGTCGACGACAGCAACGGTCGCTTGGAAGCGATTGCAGGTTGCCATGTTGGCGTGTTGTTGTACCATCCTGAATCTCCTGGTAGAGAATGTCATTTCCTACCGATGGATTCAAGACAGAATACCTGCATCTCATCCCATCGTCGTCGCAGCTGCCAGTCAACGACCATTCTCGCACCAGTATATCACCACTATGTGTAGAGAGAGAGGGGGGTAACGTTGAATGCTATCATCCGATGTAGCTCGTATGCTCCGTTTCGAACACTCGTGTGAGACACAACTCTGAGCTTGCTACAGCTCTCATGCTTATCATGCGTTTGTAAGACCCGAGGGTCTGCCCGGCAAGTCAAGACATTCGCACTGGCGTGTTCTGACACCCATTCTTGTAAAGGCACCGATCAGATGTAGCTCGTAGCAATGTTTCGTTCTGCGACAGGCTCGGGCAGTGCATACTCCGCATTTCGACAAGGTGAATCATAGCTTTTGCGACAACACTGTCAAACGGCACCCCTACTCTTGTTTATTGCACCACAAGTAGACCCAGAGCTTCGGCGTAGCCAGTCGCTTAGAACGTTCCGATTGCACGAGAGTCACTGCTTGCCTTCTTGTCCACGCCTATCCGCGTCGCTTGCCAATACCACTAACCGATGGATTTATTGCTCAACGAGCTCCTCGTAGCCATGTGATCGATCCCACTTTTGTCGATCGGCGAGAAAAGATCACGTACCTTGCGTTCGATCGTGAAATTCGTCATCACCAACAAAGCTTGGCACACAAAACGCGCGTATGGATTGCATGATTCTTTCGTCGGTCGTTTTTTACTTAGGCAGGCTTTTGATGCAACGAAGTGCCAGCGCTTCATACTGTCTATCTTGCACATTGAGGTGTCACAGTCAAAGTTATGGGTACCGCGGGCGCACCAAGTATGATTTCAGAACTGGACAACCCCATTCTAGGATGCATGAACCGTCACTCAAGATCGTACTGTACAACACGTCTGTTCTCGGTGCAACCAGTCACACCAGGGCCAACGTGTAGGTCCAATCTGTAAGGGTACACCCACGGGCGTCAGTTCGTTGAGAAGCAAGCAGATGTATCCGGAACGACTCTGGACTGAAGCAGTCCGCTCAAATGATCGTCTAGTTTGTCGCATCAAGCAAAATTTACTTTTGAATCAGCAACGCAACTGCTGACGCGCGTGACAACAATTACGACCAATACAACGGTGTGCAAAACGGTTATAAACCATGAGATCGTCATTTGACATGTCACGACAATCTGATGACTATCGTCCCGACAATTTGATGGACTACCGTCGCTGCGACAAGCCCTCGCTGTTGGCTTGTAAGCGCTTAGGATGCTCACTTCTTCGTTCGACAGCTAATATGTCTTTCTTTCCGCCCACCGGATCATTGACAGCTGGAATAGAAATGACTGCTTCTGTTCTTTTTTATTGCTCAGCTGTTTACATTCTAGAAAGTGCAATCGAGACGGACACTCTCCAAATCGATCGCTTGCGAATATACTGCAGAAAGTGCGCTACTTGTCGTAAAAATCAGCGTAGCTCCAAGCAACTGGTCCCGGTAAACGACACATACATGTATGCATGTCCTTTTTGCATGTCGAGCCATGCACGTCTCGCAGTCAGCCATCAAGATCTTCTGCCCCACAGCTATAGCTCACGGTTTTGCATGCTCCGTATCAATACACTGACATCGGCCTGACGGTGTACACTGGCAGATGCTTTCCGATGCTTGCAAACGCTTGCAGGACGATCGAGATGTGTACTTTGACGGTCCGTTACGGTCGATGACCAGTAGTTCACGAGCGGACAATTGCTTCGTTTGCCTGTACGAACTAGTACGGGCAAAGGAAGCACTTGATCCGCTCGTGGCAACGTGCAATCCAGAAGTGCGAGGCACGAGCTTCGCGCATTGCCCTTCCAGAGCTTACAACCCTAGTGACATGCTCTACGAACGAGTGTAGCTGTTTATAATCGACTTTCTCATTTCGTGCATTGAAACGCCGACTATTGCTCATGAGCTGGAGAATCGTGCCCAGTGGTGCAGTCTCGCTTCGAGCAGATTGCGTTTCGATTCATGCTTTCTTACAATATGCACTTCACTTGCATGTGCAAACAGTCGTCAAAGTACACTGGCCTAATCAGCATGTCGGCATTGGATACACCAACGTTCATGCATGCAAGTGGCCACTTGATGAAGATGCGCAGGCCTGCAGGCTGCCAAGAATTGCCATCGTCATGAACCTCTTTACACTTGGGAAAGTAACTATGCTCAGACATCTTGGCCACCACAATCACACCTCGTTCTCCGTGTCGGATGATGCCTTAAGACGACGGTCCAGTAATTACGCAGCTTTCTACCATCACCTCAGTATGCAAGTATATTCTTGGGCGCGTTTCGAGTGCTTCGAGATGTCCGACATGGCGTCTCCGAACGAGACTCCATGCATGTTCTCGCCACCGTTTCAGTTGGTGTTGCAGCGCAAGTGATACAATCATATCAAGTGTGGAACTTGTAAAGTTGTACAGCGTCCAAAGCATTTTGTCGATGAAAAGAGCACGACAACGTCCTGACTGAGCTGGAAAACCTGAGCGTGACGCGTTGCATTTGCCAAGATCCTGCATCCAGGATCATCGAAACGGACCTGTTCCACTTGATTTGGATGAAAACGGCGGGAGGAGGATACACACGCGCACTCTTCGTTAGAATCACGCTGCATATGTACGAGATGAGGACGTCAAACCACGAATGTCCCCCTCAAGGGGTGTGCCGTGGCTTTATGGGGGTCGATTGACACATGAATGATGCTTGATACTCGAACGAAGCTAACCCACACTGCGTGCATTGTCAGACTCCAGTGTGCCGTATCGATATCCATGAAGTCCGTACCCAAAGAACCATTTCAGTCATCGCGACTAAGACAGAATCGACTGGCAGTCATTCCTGCGCTTACTTGTTTGTCTCGGATGATATGCAATAATATGGCGTACGAAAATCTGAGGTGCTGCCAGACCTTGTAGGATGCATGCCTTTCAATTCCATGCAAAGCGCAAGCGAATAAGCCTGATGTTATGCAGAGACTCGGACAATGATAGTGCGTGTAGGTAAACATGAGCTCGCAGTCGGACTACATTCGAGCATCAACCTTATGGATGACCAGCTTGCTTATAGATTTACAGCGCTTTATCAGGATCGAGTGAGCACGTACAGGTACTGGTCGACGATCAAGTCCTTATTGAAGACGTGCGGTGAGGCTAGCGTATCCAGATGGGTGGCATTGAATCCGTACAGATCCTTCGCCTTCGTAAAAAACGACAAGTCGTTCTGTTCATGCCCTGGCACATGATGCGCGAAGCTCACATACACCTGTTCATGAGCCAAACGATCAATCCCCGAAGATACACAATGTTAGGTACGACAATGGGTCTTTCGAAGAGCTATTTGACTTTTCACCTGTGCGTCAGGTGCCATGCACGAGTCGATAGATCGAAGCAAATCCTCATGCTGAACGGTGAGCACGACGACGAAACATGAAGACGACCACAGTTATTTTCCAAACAATACGGAGGTAAAATACTTGCAGAGACGACAGTGGACCCACCAAGTGATGCAGCCAGAGACACTCTGCAACAACTGCAACGTCAAAGCGGTGATCAATTGAGCCGACAGCACGTTCGGACGTCGAGGCACTTGGTTGGGAAACCTCCACACGTGGCAATTCCACAAGGCATTTCAGTATCCCCACTGTGTCACTGCCCCACAAATGCCCACGCACTGCACGTTTTCCTGTGCCTAGAAGGTGCTCATTACGTCGGACATTCGCCTCGATGTTGTTCAGCAGCAACTCGTTCGGGTAATCTGCAAGAACGTTTGAACCCGTCATCACCACGTCCGACAACTCAGTCAGCCTACGAAGTTTACAAAGCGCTTACCAGTCATGACAGCCACTTTGGCGCCCAAATGCAGCGCCACGAGCGACGGTAACGCCCTGTGCACATACATTGGCAGCAACTGTTACTGCACTCGTCCAACTGTCATTTTCGGTTTTCGTAGCCATTGCTTTACCACTTACGACGCTGCGCCGAACTCGACGACGTTTCGACCTTTTACCAAATCCGAATGTTTTGCAAAATACATAGCAACACACCGCTGATAGTAACAGAAAGATGTCAACTGCGTATTCGTTCGAGTGCGTGTCCTGTAGCAGTCCCTTGCGAGGACGCGAGAGCTGCCGTAAGCAATTACACGAACCGCTCCGTTCCAGACGTTGCAGGCAAAGAGTGAGCCGGGTATGCCACCGTCGTCATCGGCCACGGAGATGTGGAAGTGGGGCATCAATTGTCCCACATCAATCGTTTGCACGTAGTCCTCCGGATCGTATCCGTTGTCCTCCCCATTTTGGCAGAACAAGTCCCCTACGACGTTATTGTCAGCGTCGTCCATCCAAATAGAAACGTGACATCATACTGCTTATTTCTACCTTAACCGACGAAAAGTTACATCTCACTGCTTGCTTGTAACTTAATCAACAATTATCGATACGTGTGACACAGCTGGACTTTCGATGTAGTGATTACACCGCATGAGTTCAGTATAGGAACAACTGTAGCTCACTCTGGGACCGTAACGACACCGCGTACCTTCAGTATAAGAATGCGCTGTATCACTCTCAAATGATCGTTATTACAGATGAGGGGCTCCATAACATTTCTTGATGTTCGGAGTAAGCTAACGCCATTGAAATGTAAATAAATTAGTGGTTCTGTGTCAACGTGAGAAAGGGATGCAGCCGCACTAGATAGTAGGGAGTCAAGGTAGGATGAAGGGCGGGATTTGTTGGCGTGGCCACGTCTCACAAATACGATGTTTCATCTTGCCTTCCCCACCTTTGCTTCCATTCTCCTTCAAAAACGAATTTCTAGAAGTAGAAGGTATTCAAATCTCGCTACTTCGTTTTCTTCTTATCTCTATCCGTTGATGCATCCCATATCTCTTCATCTACCCTTTTCCGTCTTGCGTAAACGTTGGTCCGTTACACAAATTTAACATTGTCCATTAATTAGCCAGTATGTCAAATTAAGACTCAAGTAGTTTTGTCTAAAACAAATAGTAGTGCCGGAGAGCCCAAATGATCTAGCAACGTCATAATAATTTGCAGACCTCTCGAAGAAGTTGTGCTTAGCACATAATCATGCACATTACTGCCACTAGTGATGAGGCATCCATCATCACATTGGAGATAGAGGTGACAGCAGATATATCACTTCGTCCCTAGTTGATTGCGGCGCGTCGGAAAATTTGCTCGACGCCATTCGCTACAGTATTTTTGGCCCAGGTTCGTTGATATCCAGACCATTCCAACGAGAATGACGGTGCACATTGCAGCAGACGCATACGTCTGTGAAAGTGAAGTAACGTGCAGTGGGGATTCGCTACACGTTAGAAGATGAACATCACAAGGAAGATTTCTTTGTACTAGATCTGTATGAAATTTTGATGTCATCCTTGGTTTTCCTTTGGCCTCGAAAGTACGAGCCAGCTTGTAGCTGGATCAGCTTGCAGCATCGGTCCGTGCAAATGAATGCGCTTGTTCACCAAACTCATCTGATGAGCGTCTTAGAGCATTCAAAAACACGTAAATTTTCTACGAGTGCGATGACATCACTTGTGGTTCGATAGTTGTCACGACTACGCAAAACGTCAGCAGTAGACCACTACACTGTAAATAACGCTGACGGCGTCTGAAAATCTATACACAGGTAGTGCCGAAGACCCACCACTAAAATTAGTCGAGTGGAAATGGGAATGAATGCTCGCGTAGGGGCCACAACTATAATTAGTCGAGTGGAAATGGGAATGAATACTCGCCTCGAGGCCAGTATCAAAGGAAGAAGACACCCATGTTACCCAGAAGTGGCAACAACGTAATCCTAGGTCGACTGTATAGCCGACCGTAGGAGACCAGGCTGTGGTAGCGCTACCGAATCTAGATGACGTTGAGGGAATGAGTCCCTAAGTACTTGAGGAAATAAGTTTGCAGGATATAACCGAGGCATTGAATGTCTTGGTGAATGACTGAAAAATGTAGGCGCTTTTACACTTCAACCAATAGCGCCTCCAAAGTCAACTTCGGATATACCTTACTTTACCACTCTCGGACCTAAACGGTTTTTTCAAGATCTGCAAAGTTGCAAAGTCTTGCAGACATGCGCGCTCGTCGCGGAGGACGAGTACGTTGCCGATATTTCTTCGTAAATCAGTATTTGCAAAGAACGGACGGGTTCCCAGAATCTCATCGATAGACGAAAGTGCCTAGATAAGAAGACTAGGATTGAGCGATACACGCCTCGAATCTGGAAGTCGTCGAAGGTGAACCCTTTATACGGGGACTTGATCGAATTCAAGGATGCGCTCGCTGAATCCGTGCAGTGTGAGTTACATTAGGATCAAGGTACTCGCCATGAGATCGAAATGAAAACCGGTATGAAGTAATCTGTCATGTAGCAATGGCCTCTGCATAGTGGAAATTCATTGCGGTCGACAAGTTCTTTATCGATCGCTCAGAAGTATGCCATATGATCAAATCAACTTTACCACATCTCTCTCGGACCTTCTGTGTGCGCAAGGCCACGTGAGGTGGGTGAATATTGCAATCAATCAACAAGCTTGATTCTGCAAAAGGTACCGGCTCCGACGCCGATATAATGAAAGGACATTATGATCGATGGTGTGTCTAAGCGTACCATCGTATAGTCCGTGGATATGATATCTTTCTTCTATGAGATCATGATGCGTGAACGGGACATACCGTGAATAGCAGTGATTACCTCCAGCGGTATGCTCTGGGTATGGCTAATGACGTCACAAGGATAATTAACATCCCGTCACATTCAAAATATGCGGAACGAATCTGATAAGATCAATGATAGGTTTTGCACCGAGATACTTCGACGATGTTTCGTCCATATCCCGATCATGGATGGAAAGACGGATGTGGAGGAAGTCCACTGGCTCCACTAATGGAAGGCTCTTACACTTATGCGCGATCATATCTTGTGCGCCTACCTCAAGAGGTGCATTAGCAGCTAGCAAATACCACTTCACAGATTTATCGTTGGTATAAACGTATTAAGCTCTAATACGGAAAGATCAAGGCGGTCACCGACTGACCTGTATCAGTCGATGTCAAGGGACTTTGAATGTTCCTTGGACTAGCGACGTTTTTGCTCGAATACTCGCGAAACCATGCCGGTATGACTTCTCGTCTCTCTATTTGATTGAAGTAGAACGAGAAATGGTCGTGGATTGCTTAGTATCAGCATTTTTATTCAATCGGTGTCAAAAAAGCTCGATCCTTTCGCCAGTGTTGACGATTGAGAACCAAGATAGGTCACTTCCTGTCGTCTGTGACGTCATCGTTTTTGCAGTCGGCTACTCGTTGATGCATTAAGATGCTGGCGTCTCAGAGAGCGTCATCTCATACCACTCGCGTTAGATGCATCCATCTGAGCGCAACGACTTATTGCATGACAAAAAACCTTGCCACAAAGTATTCACTAGATAATTTTCGCGTCTATCTCCTTGAAGATATACCGTTCATCGTTGTACAGACCAAATGCGTCATCGTGCACGAACGTTAACAATTCACAACTATAGAAAAGAATGACGAGGCGCATGTAGTATTTAGCGGAGCATAACTTCTCCATTGAGTACAATTAGGACGAATCAAGTTCGTCGCTTATGCGCTTTCGCGCCGGCATATTTTCCAAATTGCTGCGAAGTACAAATGTGAGGATAGATCCACTGTTGCAACGCTAATTAGATGCGCCCCATGGTAGAGTCTTTTCGACGAAGTGAGACCGGAAGATGAATCTCCTTACAGATCCTTCCCGGCAGTCTTCTAAAAACTCTCCAGAGACGCATAGGTTCCCTTCGGATCAGCATCCGTCAGTGACACACCAGTTTTAGTCGTTTCTACTCATAATGATCCTGCGACTGCTGGTCGTTTATGAGTGTCGTTGTGCGCCAATAAGTGAGTATCAAATCGTGATAAGACATATCTCCTGGCCAGATGAGACTTGAATGGTAATGCAGATATCATTTCGTGCGCAGGTGCATTCGTGATCGTTAGTCTTGCCAGTAGGTAAAGCCTATTCCTTCACTTTCCGCACCATGCAGCCTCTGTGTCCCGGCAGAGTACGGCGGGCATTCCGTGTGTTTCAACGTCGTCTTCAATTTGTCCAAGGATGATAATAAGACTTCTGGCTTTCTTTCGTTTGTAGATCGTTTCATCAATATGGATCATCGTGTGTCTATCACGAATGCAATCACAGCATAATGAAGTGCTTTTGTCTTATCTAAAAATCTTTGTATGCAATGAATTACCCTGTGAAGTCAAGTCCGAATAAAAACCGCGTTGCGGAAGCGTTTGAACAATCCAGCCCCTATATCGCAGATCAATATTGACCGATTTCGACTTCTGACCATCCGCAAAAGATGTTTAGATAGAAAGAGCCATTATTTTCGTGGAAAAGACTCTTCGTAGATACGTCCAAATGGTTACGAGTTTGAGTGACTTCTTACCAATGGATGCAGTGAATGGAGTAAGTCATCCGCGCATCCTCACTTTGTTAGCGTGTGACGAACGGGGGTAGGTGCTGGCTCGAGCAAAACACGATCTGACCCTTGATCATCACGCACCGGTGTTAGCATCGACGCGAAATACACTGATGCCGATATAATCAACATCAAAGAAGACATCCCTAACAATAGAAATGAAGATATTGATGACTTAGACGGTGCATACGATGCTGGTATATTCGGTATTGCAAATGACTATTCCAGAGAGGGCGTCATTGTCCACGCTGAGATAGAAGAGAAAGAACTATCCGCATTGCTCATAAGGTGCACTGATAAAGAGAAAAACAATTTAGCAGGGAAATTGGTACCTCTACGAGAACAAGTGGTACGATTTTCCCAACACACCATCTCGGAAGTCATGGAGCGACCAATCGACAACGCAGACAGAAACAGAAGATAAATTGTTCGTTTATACAGTGCAGGAGATCTAGTACTACTGTATAGTGTAACCTGCCTTGATACGTAATCCTTTCCGTCGACCGCAGTAAACTACGGTACAAAAACATCGGCTCATTTCGTGTGCTTCGTTGCCTAAGCATGGTATACGCAAAGAAGTATCGCTCTGATAGTACGAGCAGGAGTCATCGAAGTCCCTTGACATCGACTGATACAGGTCAGTCGGTGATCGCCTTGATCTTTTCCATATTAGGGCTTAATACGTTTATACCAACGATAAATCTGTGAAGTGGTATTTGCTAGCTGCTTATACACTTCTTGAGGTAGGCGCACAAGATATGATCGCGCATAAGTTTAAGAGCCTTCCATTAGTGGAGCCAGTGGACTTCCTCCACATCCGTCTTTCC